GGGTTGTTTCCGTAGGTGGATTTTTGACACGGGTCTTGCCCGTGTTGAGATTGCGCTGGAACCCCCATTCCCTATACTACTCTGTGACGTCATACACTCAACACTAAACATTGCTCCATACATTTCTTTGTATTTTGTAATCAAAATTTCCGCTAGTTTTATACTCAGTCTAACCACAAGTTCGGAAGTTAAGTTTTCAGCGGACCTTTGTGTTCAATAGAAAAAGAGTAAAACATGAAATTATTTACAAAGAAATGTATGGAGCGATGTTTGGTGTTGAGTGTATGACGTCACAGACACCTATGAAAATTCATAAAAATATAATACTTCCCATTGGAATATAAAAATAATAATTTAACCAGTGATTATTAAACCCTTAATGATTATTCGATTGAAGTTTTTGTCAAATTAAATTTCGGAGGATTTTCATGTTAGTCCCCCTTTAAACTTGATAATTTAGTTTCGAATTTCTATTTTGACAAGTTTATGTGAAAATAGTTGTAGGAACAAAGTTTTTAGTAGCGGAAGAGGGGGTATATCTTGTGATAAAGTATTAAAAAAACAACAAGTTATTTCGCCGTTGAAGCATGCATGCCGACTACCTTGACGATCTTTCACTTCTGTTTTCACTGCGCTCTTGTCAAGAATGTATTCTTCGCATGCTGGTATATAATTGCCGTGCAAGTCAGGGGCGGATCCAGGATTTTTTCTATTGGGGGAGACACCATCCAGGATTTTCGTTTTAGAAGGGGGTGCACCCTTTGCTTACAAACTCAAAACCCAATAATGCAGTAGATAACAGCTCATCTAGGGATCTAGGGGGAAGGGAAACAAAATCCCCATGCACCCCTCCCCTAGATCTGCCGTTGCAAGTTAACCCCGCAACAGGATTTTTTGACATATCACTGAAAGATTCTAATAAATTTGTATATGCAACCACCAACGTGATAAGCTTGGCATTTACTGGAGAGGATGTCTCTCGAATTGTCAGGTCCAATCAGAGAAAATCATCAGTTTCCAAACTTCCGGTCAGCGAATTGTACACATATAAGATTGAATGTTGTAATATGTGAATTAAAATGGGCCATATTTGGCTGAACATGAAATACCTGTAATTATACTTACCTGCGCGGCAGAGTAATAAATCGGATTCATTGCCTAAGTGAGTACATTTGCTAAGGCCGAATGTTTGAAGATGTCTGGTCACCACAAAATCTGTCTC